TGAGTACTGAGGCAACATGTTGGCATCCCATCGAAATACGTGATGGGTAGGTTTCGAAGCTACCAGTAGATACTCTATAAGAACAATCATCTAATAGGCTTGATGCAGAAAAACGTGGCAAGTTTGACGAATCGACCTAATTAGCTAGGTTTCGAAACCTGTTGAAGTTTTAATGACATACAAAGTCCAAAATTTTGTCCATCCTGAACAAGAAAGTCTTTTGGGAGGCATGGTTAATCAGCCTTGTGAAGCCTATTCGTTTCGGTGGGAAATCCAACTAAGGCCTTCTATAAGCTTAAGCATGCTAGTGGCTAAAATTTTTGTAAAAGGCACACAATCTATCTCTCCACCATCAGCATTAACAGTCATTTTATTCTAATTGGTCTATATTTTCAAACATAGGTAATCAAGTAGATATGCAGACTGGCAAGCACAGGAAGCCTTGAGGTCGTATATACATTATGTGGGTGTTAGAATCTCATCCACAAATACCAGCATCCACTAATTGGTGAGAGCACACGGACACATATATGAAAGCACGCAAACACAAATAGGCATGCATAGGTGTATACACGTATATACATAATTGAACTGGGGACGTTTACGTGAATTCGAATACTATAGCGGTTCAGATGCAAATGATGCAAATATATAGTCAAGGGACGAGCTGATGGCAGGCAAAAGCGGAAACAGTAAGAGCAGAAGAGGAGAGTAACAAGTAAAAAGGTGTTGGAGAGAAAAAGCAAAAAAATGCATTTTGGCCCGGCAATTTTACAGATCTTTGCTGAAAAAGGGGTTAAATATGGATGCAGCCAAAGACGCCCCAACGACAAACTGCATCATGGCACAAGAACAAAGAGTACAAGAAAGATACCGAGAAAAAAAGAATAGATAAGTTGAAACTCGGTAAGACAAGATACCACAGCTAGTCTGCTCAAAGAGATTAGGGAGGGTGTGTACAGATTTGGAGGAAGAGAACATTTAAACAAGAATTGAGCAAAAAAACTAATCCTGTTGCTATGCTAGAAAGGAGTCCAAGGTAGGAGATAGGGAGGATCCGTAGAAAGGAAGAAGATCGAAATATTCTAACCAAGTCAAAGGACGTTTTGGGCTGAAAGACTTGTTTTGTGAAAGGATATTGTGCTTTCAAATCTCCTTAAATGGAGGGGAAAGGATAGGGGAATAAGATAAACGAAGGGAAGAGCATGCCGTGATTTTCGAGAAGTGCAAAGCTTGACATGTGACTGAAATATTTGGAATAATCCGATATAATCTGGTGTGAAATTCCAGATAGCCTGCTACTTTGATTAACTACCCTACTGTTATTGTTAGTATATCTCTTATGTTTATTATTTGCATAATCACTATTGATTTTCACTTTTTAGCATTTTAGTGGTTGTAGTTTCTCTAGTAAATGGTACTAATGAAGATGATGGTAGTGATAGCGATGGTGATGTTGCATTAGTGAGTTCAGCATGAGCGGACACTCTCTCACAAGCGTCATCAGCCTCCTCAGGACCAAGGGGGAGACTCATCCGTTCTAATGTCAGCCTGGATGGTGATGATAAAGGCAGAACCGATGGCGACTCGGCCACCGAAGAGGATGGGGACGGAGACACTGGCTGAGAGCAAGGCAAGGTAGACGAAGTTGGAGTGGGTACTGGCGGTGGTGGTAGTATTGAAGTCAAAGAAAGGACAGTTTGTCTTATAACAGGCGTTGCAGCAGACGTCTGCTGGTCAGCTTCAGGAGAGAGTCCAAGCACTTGACTAGGACTGCTGCGACGGCGCTGGGGTGGCCAGAGGCCGACAATGGGTGGGCCGATTGATACACCTGTGGCTCCAGATAGAGTCGGAGACCCATTACCATTCCCGGTGCTACTATCGCATGAGCCACTTAAGGCCCCCAGGCCAAGGGTCCTGGGGTCCATAAGTTTGGTGGACCAGTCTTCTCGAAAGGCAGCTAGCGCAAGATGAATGAATTCGTATTGTTCGTTCATCTATAAAGATAGAGGGTTATAGGGGTCGCGATAGACATTATAAAAGAGACAATATACAAAGTAAGAGATTGGAGAGGTTGAGGATGAAATAAAAACGATGCAGATCAAAGAATCCCGAGATTAGTATTTTATCTGACAAACTTTTTTTGAAGGCAACAAGTGTATTTTGTATTAAATACATCCCAAATAAGGAAAAGTGTGAAGGAAATACATTCTAATAACCCCGTTTTGAAAACATTTTTCTAAATCTGACAATGCTTGACGAAATTGCCCAAATTGAGCGTACAGTAGCGTATCTATGAAACTTCGTTTAGTTCAGAGTATCGACTAAGTTACATGGCTCGCTGATCCTTCATACGCCAAATGTCGTGTCTGTAGATCATTCAGTTGAATGGATTCATTCCTCCCAAACCTACAGCTTGAAAATAAATTCAAAAGGAGGCATGCGTTTGAGTTTCCTATACATATCTCTACCCAATCTGGTATCCACTTTGCAAAGCAGGATAACTGTAAAAAGTAAACCACCTTCATTTTCTAACTCCTTAATGAACTTCGCCTTACAGTATATTCTGTTCATCAAGCTAAGAAAATTTTCTAGGCTTTCGTTGTCAGGCTACTAAATGGTATAGCGAATAAACAAGTTAGGGAGTAAAAGTGCCTCTTAAATCAACCCTTCCTGAAATTTAGCCATGTAATTATTTGCTACAATTAGTGACGAAGATGATCCCATAATTAAACTTCGTGTCTGTTCGTACAGTTTACCAAAATTTGTACTTCTTAAAATCTCCGGCTGTTGGTTCAGTGTTAGTTTTAGATCCTGTCTGACATCGTTTAAGGAAATTTTATTATGCATAGACTCAACATTAAAACTCACCAAAAAAATCTCAACCTATGTAAATGGATGGATATAGAGTTATCGAATTCTTAGGAATTTTTAATGTAAAACCACCACTTCTCGGAGATTTGCTTTAACTGGTGACATATAAACTGAGATGTATTATGCATTACGCAATCCTTATTATTCACAATAATTCTAATTGGGACCCTTTATTTAGGTATTTTTGGTAGACAATATTCATTCAGGGGACTGGAAATCGCTAAAAATGTTTGTTCATCGACAATTTCTCCAGTTTTCAAATATTCACACAATGTTGTACACAACCCCTGGGTCTAGATCTGGGGGTTTGTGTAGGGGCCCTGGTTATTACCTTGTAGCCCCCTTTCTTATTTTCGTGTTTTAATACATTTTCGTAAAGCCTACTCTGACGATGCCCATTATGTGACGGATGGAAGCTCAGCAAATATTCATCGGGGTCGTAGGGTGATGTGCGAAATACATATTAGCAAAAATCTGGTCAAAGCTCCAAGGCATTCGTCCTTCGGGTTCCGCTCAAGCCAATTTACGAATCTCTTCCACTCGCCTCTTCAAACAGTATGAAACGACATAAATTTGAGGCCACAGGATTTTTATTGTACTTCATTAATAATAATGAGTGAGTTCTGAATAATGATCTATCAGAGAGACTGGTAATGCACCAGACACAGTAAGCGGAAATGTGAGTCAATCCGAGTATTTCAGACTGGTTAGTGTCGGGTTTTAATTATTCATTTAGTTAGAACCGTTAGTTACTAGACTCTCGTATTTCATGTAAACATGGCAAAAAGAATAAGCTTTAATAGTTCTCGTATTGGTTTGATTTAGTTTTCGCAATTCGATCGAAGCATCAAAGAAACATTGTGAAACGTACATAGTCAAGCGTCCTCTATAATAATATTCGTGATTTCCAGCATTTGACCATTGACTTGGTGCATTCCCAAATGATTCGCCGGCCTCGCCACTCTGAGGCCCATCGTTAGCACAGAGTTACAACATGTCAAAGCGACAAATGAAGATAATCCTCTTGACAAATTTTTTATTAAACCGTTGCGACGCCTATTTTTTGTTCTACCTTCTAGTGCTGCATCTCTTTCTCTCAACCCCACTTCATATTGCCCATTTAGCTATTAACACAAATCGGTGAGCTCCATTCCCGATCTAGTTTAGGTCATATTCGAGGGTTTAGAGCCGGTGGTGCCCGTGACTAGGAATCTTCCTTTACCTAGGTTTCAAACCCACCACCCAGTTATCCCAGTTCTCATTCCAACCTACATTGCATCTCATGCTTTGGGGCCCTGTATCCAGTTTAATTCGGAAACGCCGTGTGAAAATCTACCGTTTACCACTCAAGAATCGGGCCACTTAAGAGTAAAGTACACTTTTCTTGTCTCTCAAGTTGGCAGTCCCATATAATACTAAAGTAATAGTCAGTTATTCATGTATACATTGGTTGATATCCACCCAATTTTGATCAGTCATCATCAGTCATCAGTCACCTCTCATTAAGTCACACCCGAAAATGCCCACAAGCATACATACCCGCATGCTGGGGACCTATCCCTAGTATACCTATACCTTTAGCCTAATACCTCTAATGGAGCATAATCTTCCTGTTTCTGGCCTTTTATTTCCTATCCAACATCCAGTAGATGGACCCTCACAGGTAACTTTTCAGGCTGATTCCAAGTTTGATTCTTACTGCAATCGCCTTTTGTCTTCCATTTGTTCCTCATGATCCTCTCCTTGGCGATGTCTCTCCCTGTTATTGAATATTTGTCCTTGGCCCGAACAGCTTAACTTTTGTAAACGTTATGGCATCCCTCGTAAGTATTGCATTTCGATGAAAAAATATCATTCCGACCAGATCAATGATATAGTATACTAACCTTATTTACAAAAATTAGAGGAGACATATGAAAGGGAAAGGGGAAGTTAAGTTTTTATATATTAATTATAGACTCAGGCATGATTTGAGTCGGTTTCGCCCCCGGAGGATTTTCTGAAACTACAGAAGCTGCCAAACAAAACGTCGAAAGGAGTTCAAACTTAATCACAAATGGCATCTTAAGAAACTGAATAAATATGGAATCTGTAGGTAGCCTAAGGTCCAATCATCCAGGTGAAATGAGGATGCCTCTATCATGATGAATCTCACAGTCCAGACAAGAAAGGTAAGATAAAGTAGTGAATCTGGCTTCTGTCCGTCTTGATCTCAAAGCCACGGTGATTCACAAGAAAGGATTACATTTTGCACTGAGGAGTGAAAGGAAGG